TTAAATATCGTGCGGCGCGGCCGCACGTGAGGGGAACGCATTCCTGCATGCGAGCCTCCCCGATATTTTCGTCTTTGTTATCGCGAATCGCTCCTGTTCGATCTGTGTGGCTCCTTTGATAAGAGAATGAGAGAGAGAGAGAGAGAGAGAGAGAGAGAGAGAGAGAGAGAGAGAGAGAGAGAGGCAGAAGACGTCATATCGTGTGTACTTTAGCCGATGAGAACACGCGTGTCTCTGTGTGCGCACACGTGCAACGCGCGGTCTGTTGTGTCTTTACTGCTGCACTTTTCTCTCTTTTGCGTTTCTTTCTCTCTTTACACGAGCTTCATGCTCGCGTTCTTTACGTAACCACACGAGCAGCAGATAGCAGCGCGCAATCTGCTGCGCGCGCGTGCTCGCTCGGAAAAAAGCACGCTGTCTGCGGAAAGCGCAGCGGCGCGGGCGGTGGAGAAAGAAGTGTCTCTTCTGATATCCGTCGCCATGGCGACGGCGACGATCACGAGTGTCAACTACACGTGACGAAGGTGATTTTTCCGCCGCGAGCGAGCGAAAACAAACATTGGCAGCTGATAACGAATCTCGGTCCGCACGCGCGCGCGCGCGCGCACGCGCGAAACCGTCCGCGAGACAAGTGGCGGACAAGCGCGATAGCGCTTGTCGATTCCACCTATGTCGTATCAATCTCGCTCGCGCTATTAGAATTAATGGGGAATATCTAATCGGGCTTATCGCACGGCACACTTGAGCGTTAATCGCGAGAACTCGCGAGGGAAACCGCGATCACGACGCGAAGAGAGAACGCCAATATCCCTTTCACGGCGGACGATGAATGCTTTCAGCAGGCAATAACGGCTTGTTTTCTCTTTTCGCATCTCGTTATCTCTGCTTACCTCGTAAGCATAACTTTTTCGAGCTTATAAAGAGAACACATTTAAATTGAAGGACAGAAATTCCATGACTTATATATACACGGTGCTTTATTGCGCGCCGAACACACCCACTGCAACGGCAAGGTGCGCGGTAGTTACACGCCACGATTTACGGATTTACCTTCCTCTCCTCCGCTCTCCTCGTACTTGTACACACGCTGTATAATAGGTCTCTCTCTCTCTCTCTCTCTCTCGGTCTATTTCGGTATGCTGTGCGGTAGGTTGTCGCTTGTACTCGTAAATCAAACGACTGCGGCGCGCAATAGTTTATTTTCCTTCCGAGAGCGCATAAGCGCGTCACGACGCCGAATCATCGCGCCTTTCTCCCTTCTTTTCTGCCTTTTTTTCTCTCTCTCTCTCTCTCTCTCTCTCTCTCCATTGTCCCTTCTTTCTTCCTTTTTTCTTCACCTCTTTCCTGTGCCTTTCCTCTTCTTTATTTTTTTTTTGTCGATAAACCGTCGGAATTTTGCCTGACAAAAGCGTCGCAGGAATGACGAACGGAAGATCCTTGAACTTGAAAAGTGCACAGAGGTCGTGAGAGGGAAGGCGGCGAGGTGAAGGAAAGGAAAAAAAAAGTACAAAGCGGAGTACGGAGTGGAATATACGCCATGTCCGAGGCTGAGATCGTCCTCGGAAACAATGTACATGTTTACGACTTAATATCGTAGCAACGGCAAGAGAAAGCGAGCGCGATATCTTAACCGTAACCTTCGGCCGACGGAATCACTCGAGACCGTCGTACCTTAAAACAGAGGGATACTTAAGTTTTTTCATACCGTGAGCCTCTTCTCGGGATAATGTTTCTGGATGGACGTGTAAATTGCGATTGCGAGAGAGAAAGCAATTACAAACCCGAGAGAGGCGCGAGTGTGCGAGAAATTCAGAGAACGGAGGCTCGCTAATTTTAATTTTTTTTCTCTTTTTGGTATCCCCAGTCAGAAGAAACCCCGCTTTGCGACTGTCCCGAAACCGGAGTAAACCGACAAAGTTCAGTGAGAGAAAGATAAAAGAAAGAAATCGAGACGGAATAGCGTGTGCCGTTGTTTATGATTGTGTATGTGACGATAAATTTGTCATTGTAAATTATATATACACATACCGGTGCGCGCACAGCTCGACTCGTCACAATTATCTCCGTTGACCCTGTACGTCCGCTAATGATGAACGACGCGATTTGACGAGAATCGACGCAGTGCACGATTTCTAATTTCACCGCGTAATGCGTTTCGTCGGCCGCGTCGCGCGACGAATCTTTCATACCCGTCTCTTTTCCTTCTCTCGCGCGCATTCATAATCGTTCTCCCGTGATTACTCACGAGTCGTTTTACGCGGCTGGTATCGCGCTCCTGATCGCATCTCTTTGCGCGATTCCGCTGAAGCCTTCGAGACTTATGATTAACGCTGTCGCAACGACAATGCACGACGTGTAATAATTCACGGCAAAAGCTCGCACGCGAACGCGAAAACTGTCAAGATACAGAGATTCAAACGCCTATCGCTAAGCATCGCTAAGCTCTCCTCTCTCTCTCTCTCTCTCTCTCTCTCTCTCTCGCTCTCGCTCTCGCTCTCGCTCGCTTGCTCAAAGGTGACAGACCACCGTGAGCGTGAAACTGTAACCCAATAACCGACGTCAGTGACTCTCAATCGCGGCATCGTGAGCGGGTTAATAATAAAATATCACGGGAAATTCAATTTTGCCTCGATACACTTTGCCCGCGGTCGGAATAAAAAGAGAGAGAGGGAGAGAGAGAGAGAGAGAGAGAGAGAGAGGGAGAGAGAGTCGCGCAATGAAAGCTCGCGGATATCATTTCCATACACATTGACGCGCTGGAAGCGCATCAGGGACTGGTCGCGACGCGAGCTCTCATCGGAATCACGTAGCTACTTACCGGTTTTTCGATCCCCGGTCTTGTTCTCTTCTGGCGAGCGTACTCGATGTTTAATCGACGTTACATCGATGATCGGCGCTACACCGATCGTCGGTGTATCGGCGGTTATTATCGATTACTCGACCTCTCGGCAATTACGTTACCGTTATAATCGGTAATTCGACGCGTTATTTCCCTCTTAAATACGTACACGTACGTAGTCCGCCTGCCTGCTTCCTTTTTTTATTTCTTAAAATAATCTCCGTGCTCGTTCGTCTCTCCGCCCGATTCTACGATATTTGTCTCCAATATTTGCAGATGAGAATAACACCGACCGCGAGGAGGAGCGTCCCGTTCGATTAATCGGTCATATCGTATCATTTGCTCGATAACGAACGGCGATTCTATTTAATCGCGCGGGGCGCACGTTATTCCGAAGACCGAAGAGCCCGAAGCTGAACTTCCGGATAACGTAGCGGCGGACAAATGGAATTTCTCACGATATTCCATGAGCTGGAGGAAAGAATTCTATCGGCCTCCCCCCCCCCCTCTCTCTCTCTTTCTCTCTATCTCTCTCTCTCTAACGCTCGACCTCGACCTTGAGTCTACTGAATTACGAGTGAGGACGTCGGATGCATATGCATTCCGTTCCTCCTCAATGACGTCGGCACCTCTTTGCGACGTTGTCTCTCCGCGTTCATTTCCACAAATATTCCCGGAACGTGGATCATAGCGCGTGGACACGACATGGCGTTTTACGCCTCACAATTCCCGCGCCGAGCGGGTATCGCGCGTTGCTCTCGCGAGATAATGTACGCGCGAGACGTAAAATTCTTAACACGCGAGGCTCTGTTGGGAAATATGAAGAAGGGAAAAGAAAGAAAAGAAGGAGAAAGAGAGCTCGCGCGCGATTAGACTTCTCTATAGGGGAAAAAAGCCGGGACCTGAATACTCGCGGGCGTTTTTGCGAAGACCGACGAGCAAAGGTCGCGCGCGTGCCTTTCAACGCTCGCAGATTAATGTAGAATGTCGGAATAATGTCTCGGCCGCGTGCATTGCGCGCGCGCGCGCGCGTTTTGCAAGGAAAAGAAAAGACAAACTGACAGCTGCCGATAGAATTCCAGTTTATCACGCGATCATTCGCTGCGATCCTCGGGAATCGCGATGATACATAAAAACCTCGGCTTGCGCGCGGGAACCTTCCACAGATCGTAATGGAAAGTTCTCTTCTTCTCGGGCTCGATCGCCGTGGTATTTATCGCGAGTCGACAAATATCGAGAGGAGGCGCGCCGCAGCCCCTCCTCGACAAGGAGGAATAGTCTCTCTCTCTCTCTCTCTCTCTTCCTCTCTTCCTTTCTTCCTCTTGCCTTACTTTACCGTAAAAATGTCTCGTAAACACAAGTCTTTTTTTTGTTTCTCTCTCTCTCTCTCTCTCTCTCTTTCTCTCTCTCGATTCGCACACGACATTCAATTCTCTCGTATCGCGACGCGATCGCATAAGGGCACGATACGAAAAAGATCAGAAACAAAGAGAGAATTCAGGCATTCGGGCGTCTCGCCAGGCAGAGGCAGCAGGGTTGGCGGGCAACCAGGCAGGGGCAGGGGTACTTCTATGTACAGAGGGTAGACGACCCTTTGTTCGACGGCGCTCCCTTTTTCTCCGGCAAGAGAGGAAGAAAAAGTGAGCGAGCGAGCGAGCGAGAGAGAGAGAGAGAGAGAGAGAGAGAGAGAGAGAGAGAGCGAAAGCTAGAGTCTTCCCTCCGAGTCTCGGCGAGGCCTCGGCCTCGGCCTCGATTCCTCTTTCTTCCCTGCACTTTCAACATCTACACCCCTCAATTAACGCGTGTTGTGCACGAATGGATCACGAAAGACGGGAGAGGGGATGATCGGGCAAGGGCCGAAATTTGATAGCGCCGCTGCTAACTCGGAGGGTGTCGTATGTAACATCGTGCGATCGTTAAACGTGTCCCCCTCCGGCCATCGGACGCGAAACTCACCCCCATCAGGGGCGATTCTTATCCGGGAGACTTGCGTTCTCGTTGTTCCGCTTGACAAATTGAATTCGGATGTAGATAACGGGGTAGGGAACGGGTACTCCCTCACGTTGTTCACGCTCACGAGTTGCGGGCGAGCGAGGACAGAGTATCGTTTCTTTCGTCGTCGTCGACGAAATCCGTCTGATCGGAGCTGTGTTTGTTACAGTGCACGCGGGAGGCTTGGACTTCACCATCGAGCCGCGGGACGTGGTGGTCGAGCAGGGAGGTTCCGCGAGGTTGGACTGCGCGGCGAAGAGCGTGTTCGGGACACCGAGCATTCAGTGGCGGACGGACGACGGTCAGCCGATCACGTTTATCGGAGACAGTTATCGGTAAGAAGCGTAATTATGCCGTGTCGCCGAGGCAGAGAAAAAAAGAGACAGAGATATCCCTCAAAATTTTCTTTCTCTGCTTTCTCGCGCGCGCACACACACAATGTCCTCCCGTCCCAGCTGTGCACATCTGAAAGGAGCGTTCCCGATTTTGATTTATAGATCACAGCTAACGAATGGGTCCTTGTACATAAGTAGCGTATACGCCAGTAGTGCAGAATTAACTGGAAGTTATCAGTGTTTAGCCTCCATAGATAATGTCGGAGCGATTGTCTCTCGGACAGCCACGATCAAGCTAGCAAGTTAGTATCTAGATCCAGATCTTTAGCACGTAATCGCTTGAAGTATGTTTAGGAGATATACGGTATCTCGAAGGAGAAAAAAAGAAGAGGTAAAAGAGAGAAATGATACTTGAGACGTTGCGTGCGCATTTTCGCAAAGTTCTTCTCGAGACTGAACCTGCGGAATAAGCTGGTGCGCGCGTGTGCGCGCGGCGATGTTAAAATGAAATTGCTCCGAAGGTCTGCCCGGCTTCGAGAGGGAACCTCAGGATACGATGGTTTATGCAGGACAGATCGCGTATCTGAGTTGCGCCCTACCCGCTTCCTCGAGTTTGTTGAAAGTACAATGGCTGAAGAACGAGCATCCGTTGGTACTCGACACAAGTCGGATGGCGATCTTGCCGTCAGGTACACACGACCGCCGGTGTCGGCCGTATGCCAATATATAACAATGTTGCTTCGATCAGTTAGATCGTCGATTTAATCTGCCTCGCTGACGCGTCTTTCCTCTCGCGCAGGCGCTCTGGAAATCGACGATGTTCAGTATCTCGATTTTGGCTCGTACAGATGCAACGCTAGCGGCTACGGCCAATATAGACTGAGCAACAAAGCACAATTAGGATTATTGTCCAGCGACATCGGTGAGTTTGCCTTTTTTGCCAAGTAATAATCGCGCGCCGGAAATAGGCGCAAAGAGGTAGCGAAAATGTAAAAATCGTCACTGTGCTGCGCGGGTGTGTGTCTCAGATGAAGAATCTAGCGCTCCAGTATTCATCGCACAACCCTTGCAACAGACGGCCATCGAAGGGTCCGATGTGACTCTCGAGTGTGCCGCCAATGGTTATCCAAAGCCGACGATCCTTTGGCTCAAGGACGGCGTGGCTCTCGACTTGGTGTCGCTTGATTCTAGGTATGAAACAATTTCCGGAACGCCGACACTGCGTTCGCGTGACTTGACGTAAATATTAACGACGAGTATGTTTCATACTCAAGATACCGGAAAGTCGCAGCTTCTAGTCTCACGATCATGGACGTCCGAGAATCCGACCACGGCTCGTACCAATGTCGTGCGGAGAACGAAATCGAATCATTGGACGCGGTCGCCGAGTTGGTTGTGCAAGGTGAGCGCCCTTGCGACGCTTGGAAAATGATTCATACGGCGCGATACAAACGGCTGCTGGCTGCTTTGATCTGTTTTCTCATTCTGCCATTCCCGGTCCTTGTAGTTCCGCCGAGTTTCACGAAGAAGCCGGAGGACAAGGTGGCGAGTGAGAATCAAGATTTGGAATTCGAATGCGAGATCTACGGGAAACCGGAACCGAAGATTACTTGGCTGAAGAACGGCGAGCGCATCACGCTGAGCGCGTATTGGCAGATCGTCAATGGGTGTGTACGCAGACTGTCTACGCAGAGATCTCGCAGCTTGCGAAAGTAATCTCTGGGGTATTGATTGGGAAAGAGCAAACAGTTATAAATAAACTCTTGTGATTTCTCCGTACGCAGAAACAATCTGAGAATCAACGGCCTGTTGCCGATAGACGCGGGTATCTTCCAGTGCATAGGAGTGAATCCTGCTGGTAGCGTTCAAGCTTCAGCGCGTCTCATGATTAACCAGCCCAGTGAGTTTTAGCCCAGTGATGAGAGAGAGATATATATATATACATATATATATATATATCTATATATATATAACGCCGCGGTGCATTCTCGTATTCCTCGTTGATATCTCGGTCGATCGGTCGATCGCGAAGTATCATCGTTCGAATCACGTGATATTTCGTTTCTTTTTACATTTACCTCGCATATGTTATTTCTTTTTTACATTGTGTTATTTATATACTCATATATATATATTTCGTTTTTCTGTATTTAAGTTTTTTAATTTTGTTTTCATTTATTTTCTTCCCTCTTGTGTGCTCCTCGCTGATTAACTGTTCCGCATGCTAACCGCTATCGCGTATGCAGAAAGAACAAGCATCCACAGAACGACAACTCCCAAGACAGTTCCTAAGAAAAAACTGCTGTTACACCGGCAGTTGTACAATAAGACCTGGCAACATCCGAGCACGCTCTTAGGACACACGTCGTCACTCACGCCGAATCCTCCTCTCCCCATTAGTCCCTCCGATGACTCCTCGGACCTCCCGAGCTCGGTTAAATATCCCAACTCCCTTTACGACCCAAACTCCCATTTTGTAGATGACACAGATACTCTGGAGGCGTTCGAGGGAGGTGTACCGTCCCCGCCGAGGAACCTGAGTCTCGTTATCGTTACCGCGAGATTCGTCACACTACGCTGGCAGGAGCCAGAGAATATGAATAGCGACTCCCTCAATTATTATATCCATTACAAACAGGAAGGAGGTGTGAGGTAATTATCGTTGCCTCTGAAGCGTATGGAAATACGTATAATGAGTAGAAATATATACGCGAGTGAACACGCGTGAGAGGAATTACCCGCAACGAACAAAAGTATAATATCGTAAAATAGGAATACATTTACATGACAAATTTGTGTCTGTGTATCTTTCTTACTCATTTGTATATATTTTTATGCGTTCTGTATTGTATTTCAATGCGTCTCGAAATGAATCGTTTCACTTATGTACGGTACAGTTCTCGCTCAATGATTGCTTGCTTGTTTGCAGGGAGAGAGTCGTGAATACACAACAGAAATTGGAGGCTATGATACGTGGTTTACAACCTAGTGTGACGTATCAGTTCCATGTAGTTGCGCAAAGTGCTCGAGGAACCAGTGCGCCTAGTGAAGTATTACAAGTTACAACGCTGATAGAGGTAAGCGCGTAATATTACTATCTGTTAGAGATGTGCGAATCAAGAATTTTTATGTCGAATCGAATCGAATCGAATCTTATTTTTTTAATTCGAATTCGAATCGAATCTATGAAATTTCATTCGAATTCGAATCGAATCGAATCATTAAAAAATTTAACATGACTATTACATTTAACATGACGTGCACATAATGATGGAAGGTTTTAATATGAAAGGGGATATTGATATTGTAATATCATTTTAAAGTAAAATATATATTTAAATATTTAAAGTAATTTATAATTAAGTTATTAATTATAAGTTAAGTTAATTACAAGTTAAGGGTTCAAACATACAGGCCCAGATGTCTCGTTTTGCACTTGATGCATGCAAATATAATGCACGCTAATATATTTGATTCGTAATTGAATCTTCGATTCGAAATTTTCGAATTATTCGGATTCGAATCATAGGGATTCAGATTCGAATCGAATCGAATTACATTAGATTCGATTCGATTCGATTCGAATAGTTCGCACATCTCTACTATCTATATACGTGGTGGAGAATTAATTTCATTTGTTTAACAAACAACGCACTTGGCGATCTACCGTAGGCCAATGTTCCTGGACCTCCGATGAATTTGGAAGGTCACGCGGCGAGTAGCTTGAGTATTACCTTGTCATGGGAGGAACCACAAATTATTAATGGTCGAATATCTAAATATATTATTACGTTTATGGAGGTACGTGATTCTCTCTCTCTCTCTCTCTCTCTCTCTCTCTCTCTCTCTCTCTCTCTCTCTCTCTCTCTCTCTCTCTCTCTCTCTCTCTCTCTCTCTCTCTCTCTCTCTCTCTCTCTCTCACATTTGTTGCAAATGTTGAATTGTTATGACAACGTCGAGAGAACGATTCAGTGTTCAATTTTGCTCGGATTGTACAGGGCGACGGTGAGGAAGTAATGCGTGAAACTACTAGTACAACGTACGAATTGGTAGATCTCGTGCCTTATACGGAATACAGTATTAGAGTTCAAGCGGTTAACGAAAATGGTCCAGGCGCGTTTAGCAAAGATATCGTCATTCGGACTCACAGCGCACCACCCGCGCAACCACCGCACAATGTTACGTTAGAAGCAGCTAGTTCAACGGTACGTACGTGCCAGTCCAGATGCCAGTCGAGAGAAGAATCTAATTCTGAACACGGCATCACATCTCCGGTATCTCGTCGAAGAGAATCTCGTCCTGATCTGTAGCGCGTACGCACTCTGTATCTTTCAGAGTATTATCGTAAGATGGGAGCCTCCGCTTGAGGGACAGAACGGGATTATCACGGGTTATCGAATCCGTTATCGCAGATATCCGCATGATCGACGAAATCCGATTACGATGACGACTGAGGGAAATCAACGTTTGTACGTACTCAATGGGCTCGAGAAGCACGTGGTGTACCAAGTTCGCATATGTGCCTTCAATGTCAATGGGACTGGGCCTTGGACTGAATGGATGAAGATAGAAACATATGAGAACGACCTGAACGAGACGAAAGTACCCAACGCACCCAGTAACCTGAAGGGTGAGAGGGATTTCACATTGTCAGTGTAGGATAATTAATAACATCTCTAAAGTACACCTCTCATAAAACGGTCTCTGTTATTACCTTACAGCGAATGCTGTGGGAGATTCTATATTGGTGACGTGGCATCCGCCGAAAGATCAAAGTATAAAAGTAAGGAAGTATAAATTAGGCTGGGGCAAAGGGTATCCCGATGTTGAGATACAAGTTCTTGATGGGAAGCAACGATCTTTCGCGATCAAACCTATAGGTAAGAGGAGCATGTTCTGCTTTTGATATTCGCAGTTCGGAAATTCGGAATCGAGAAACGTTCAGATTTTCTTCTCGTCGTCGTTCTTCAGAACCGACAACGGAGTATGTAATATCACTAAGGGCAACGAATAATGTCGGCGACGGTGAGCAAGCGTACGCGAATGTAAGAACCCCCGAACGTTTCGTATCTGAATCCGCAGTGCCTTTAATACCACCCGTTGGCCTTAAAGCTATTGTGCTCTCGGCTACTACCGTTGTACTATATTGGACTGACACGACTTTATCGAAGAGCCAGGTGCGTTTATTTGCGTATATTTTGCTCTATTACGAGACCTCGCAAGAGACGAGGACGCGCGCGCAAAGCGACGGAATGTCAAGCGGAAAAAATCTATAACGAGCGACATTTATTTTCAGTATGTCACCGATAATCGTTATTACGTGGTGCGTTATATGTCTTACCATCACAGCACTAGTCCTAGATACAAATATTACAACGCCACCGACTTGAACTGTATGATTCACGATTTGAAACCCAACACGCAGTACGAATTTACGGTCAAACTGGTGAAGGTATGAGATATATGCACGTCGTTGTTTAACACGTCGAAGAAGGTGCACAGTGTGTACAGCTGCAGAACGAATCTGATTTCCGCAGGGTAAGCGAAGCTCTCCGTGGAGTATGGTCGTTCTAAATCAGACTCAAGAAGCGTCGCCCACTACCGCACCTCGAGATCTGATTATTCAAACTGTCGAAGAGCGTCCGACCTCCGTGCTGCTGCGATGGCAACCTCCCAAGCAACCCAACGGACTAATTACAGGTTAGCGCGAACTAAATTCGACTCAAAGAAGCCTCCTGAAGGAGACTTTATCTTTCAAGAGACGAGAGGACGTATTTTTGACGAGTTCTATCTGATCTATCGAATTTTCAGGATACCTCATTATTTATTCCACCGACACAAAGTGGGAGCGTGACTGGCTGGTCGAGGGTGTTATCGGTGACAAGGTAGACGCCATCATAAAGGGTCTGCGTCCCAACACGCTGTACTATTTCAAGATCCAAGCTCGCAACTCTAAGGGATACGGACCGTTCTCCATTACGGTGTCGTTCAAAACACCGCAAAGTAAATAATTGAATTTTTATTTTGCCCTTGGTCGTCGTTGGTTATGATATACGTTTTTTGTTATACGTATTATTATTTATATATTATACTATATACCATATACAGTGCAATGCCTGTATTAATCCAATTGTACATACGCGAAACGTTGTTACGAATCTATACATGTCTGTACATACACATATATACATATGTGATTTTTAATTTTGCTTTATGCATCTTGCACTTTGTTGTTCGTTCATGAATCGTTGTGTTAATTATTATCTTTATTTTTATCCCTATGGTAGGCAATGGCATGGATATCTATGATGAATTGCATGGTCGAGGTAAGACATCCCAGGCTCTGTCTTTTCATTGCGACTACGCATGTCTTTCCGAGCATGTTCTGTCGCATCGTATCCACTGTAACATTATCCTTCTTAAGTATGTAACAGATTACACAATTCTTGTACATACTTTTGCAAACGTTTATACGCTTTCTTTATAAGAAGCAACGAGTGTGGCACTCAAACATCTTAAAAATATAACTTTGGTTAAGGTTTGGCTAAGAAGGGTGGCTAAGTGGAAGTTAAAACTATTGAATTTAATTTTCATTTTTATTCTTTTTCCAGATGGACGAGGTCTCTCAAATATACTGATTTACATCATAGTGGGCTGTTCTGTCGTTTTTACTACCGGCATAGCGGTGGTGGTCGTTGTGATGTGCTGCAAACGTAATCCGGCGTCGCCGGATCGAAAGAAGGGGTACGAGTCAGTCAGATTTGGTAGTTGAGCATCACTCAGTCAGTTGAGCGTACTTGCATCGATATATATCAAGTTTTATTTTTCTTTTTACATATTCAGATACATGAAGGACTCGAATCAAAAGACGAACATCAAGCCGCCGGACTTGTGGATTCATCATGACCAAATGGAGCTCAAGGCGCTTGAAAAGTCGTCGTTAAACGGTGAAGCGTCCACGAGCGGCGTCACCAGTAACACATTACCCAGATCGGGCAATTCGGAATATAATCAGGACAACGTACACGGCAATTCCAGTTCGTTGGACAAGCGTACTTATGTGCCAAGCTACATGGGTAAGTGGCGCGATATCACGACGAGTGCTAAACACCGCTCAGATGCGCTCAGATATCACAGAGATTGGACACTACAGTTCCCTTTGACACTCGAGCATAAACCTAATAATAGCAATCTATTTTGTTGTTAATTTGCTTAAGCGAGAACAAGCGACGATTCTTTTGTCGTGCACATTTTGGTAATTTCCTCCGATTATCAGTTGACTTTCAGTTGAGACACTTCGGTGCACTTGAAAGAAGGGATGAAAGATTATGAGGGAGAACGTCAACGCTTTAATTTGCAGTTTAATTGCAGTTTACCCGCTTTTGTTATTTGTGGTTGCTTTTTACCCATGTCTCATTAGGTAACACTGACGAGAAGTGCTCGACTCTGAGCAGGCAACACAGTCGTGGGAGTCACAAACCCAAACTAATTTCACTTCCCGTTGACAGTGCACCTTTGCATCAACGTAAGTAGCAGTGGGGCTTGCCACCGCTAACTCACACTAACTTATACGTCACACGCTCTTACACGTAGAACACTTGCGAACCGTCTTCGTTACTTTGCGCGACGATATTTAAAGCAAGCAGACGACGCGCTGTCTGATATCAGCGATTGTTGTCTCAATGTAGGTATCAGAGCTTTTAAACTTATTGCAGCTATAGCTACCGCCACCCCGATCGTCAATACCAGCATGTCGCAGCCGACCATCCACAGTTCGTGCAGCGACACGTCGTCTGTCAGGCAGAATTATCCGCGAACAGTCGCGCAATACAGCTTGAGTCGAGCGCACGTCACGCTGGAACCCACGCCGGAATCGAGTCCAGATTCCTGCAACATACCAAACTCGTACGAACCACTGCAGAGTCAGGTGAGTGAGATTTCTCCGTGCGCGTTTTTCCCTATGCGATACAACCGCTCACCCATCGGCGAGTGGAAGATGGAGCGGGAGGAGCTTCTTCAACCTCCGACTCATTATTAGTAGAGGACAAATAGCTGGAGTGTGACATATTGTTGACATTTGGCTTCGCAGTTATCATACGGCACCAGCGGCCAATCATACAGCGGAAACGCTCAATATGCCCCTGGTCATTATGGCAATAGCAGTCAACCGATGAGCAGCAACACCGTCGGTGTGGAGAGCAACAGCAGCAAGCGATTGCAAGGGCATCCTCTCAAGAGTTTCAGCGTGCCGGCACCGCCGCCGCAGAGCGCCCCTTCCACACCGGCGCAACAGAAGCACGGTGGTTGGTATCGTTGTCGATTATTTCGACGCTCTGTACCTGATGAAGAGTACCCCTCTCTCAATTACCACTGCTTCTCGCAATTGCAGTGTCGCAAGTGACGGTGAGACCAACAATGTCCGGGAGCCCGTACAAGAAACCGCCGCAGAGCTCGTCGTCGCAATTAGCAGCAAAGAATCGCCTAGCTTCCGTGTCAAACACGGCGCACACTTCGGAGGAAGTCGAACGGTTGAAGGTAAAGAAGAGCCAATTTCCGGATGTATTTGCTTGTATATATGCGACATCGATTTCATCGTGTGTGATGCTTCTTCATAGTTGTCTACACCGCCACTCAGAAGAGTTTGGATAATATATTACCTATCTTACAATTTTTCGATACGTTCATTGTGCGAAGTGACACATTGCACATGTGAAAATAATTATATCTGTAAGACAATACAACAATTGTGCTAACAATTATCATCGATAAGACATTGGTCTGGTCGCAAAATTACACAAAGGGTGCTTTAGACTTTTGAGCGGTAGCGTACACGATATTGATCAGATTGTGACGGTCACGATTTGCAAGATTACTAATGAAATCTTGTCGCAATTGCAGCCTTCGTACAGCACTGAAGAATTGAATCAGGAAATGGCCAACTTGGAGGGTCTCATGAAAGATCTGAATGCCATAACAGCATCGGAATTCGAATGCTAAAGTAGGTTCCTAAACCGCGTGCCATCCTAACTGATGGATAGACTGCAACGCCACATTCTCAATGTTAGTACCTGAGAGGTAAATCAATTACGACGCTCTTCGGCTTATAATGAATTGAGTTTCTCTCCTTCCTATTCGATACGGTCATTGTCATTATTATGTCAGCGTTACGTCAGAGGAAGCTCGAGATCAGATGTCGCGCGAGTTAATCAACGCCGATGAACGGCGCGATTAACGGTTGATCCGAGTCGATTCAAAATCTGATGAAAAAGAAAAGGAAAAGTAAAATGCGCAAACATTGCGATTTGAATCACATGTGGCAATTGGCGGCTTATCGGGTCACTCCAGGCCCGATTGACGTTTCCTCTCTTTCTCTCTCTCTCTCTCTCTCTCTCTCTCTCTCTCTGTCTCTCTCTCTCTCTCTCTCTCTCTCTCCCCCCCTCTCTCTCTCTCTCTCTCTCTCTCTCTCTCTCTCTCTCTCTCTCTCTCTCTCTCTCTTTCTCTCTCTCTCTCTGGTACTAGCGTTGCTTATTTCGAGACTCGCGAGACTCAAAGATATATACACTTGCCGATATATTCCGACAGCGTCGCGTGTTCTCGCGGCGTATTTTTGATAACGCGAGCGCGTTAGTTATTACCGCGTATATTTGCGATCGCACGCGCGTGCGACAGAGCTCGATATGTGCACAACGTCGTAGAAACGTTTACGGTGTATAGTCGCGTGTGTGTATACGTGTGAGTGTCTGGGCGCGATAAAACACTGATCGGGACGCGAATCGGGACCGACTGATTGACTGATCGCGGTGTGTTTCTACGTGATGTGTGAGAGTCAATGCGCACTTGGTTTCAGTATGGCTTCACGGACACTCTGTTCCTCGATGTCGTTTGAATCGCAGTCGATGATCCATTTTAACTACTGGAACTGAATCGACTGTCTGAGCCGTAATGAAACCAAACCGTACGATAATCGTATAGTCGAGTCAATCTCGAGTAAGAAAACGTAACGTTTTTCTTCGACGTCTGCATGAAAGTCCCGCCTGACTCGTTCGATGGTGCCCTTCAATAATCGTGCTTGCGTGCATTCGTCGAGAGAGGCGATCTTGCCTAAACGAAGAGGAGGAGGAGGAGGAGGAGGGAAAAGGAAGAGGAGAAAGCAGCAAATTCGTATTGTGTGCGCATACTGTATGTAGTCCCAGCGAAAAGTTCATGCGTCACTATCTCGTAATTCATCTTTGTATAATCATATTCTTCATTGTTGCTAATGATTGCCATATTTACGCTTAAAGGATGAAGCGCGCGTGAGCCGTTCGGTCGAGTGAATTTTTACGGTCCATGATGAAAGATGAGGAATGAACATATATATATATATATTTGTCCTATTTTTGTATCTATTGGAGATCGGGGTTCGGGCGAGCGAAATTTTGTTCCACGTTCTCTCATGGATTTGGACTTGTCAAGCTTCCACATATTTTGGAACCTTACATTTTAGTTAGAGCTTTGCATTTTCCGATTCTGAAGCTCGTCTCTGTTTCTAGTTTTCATGATATTTTATTATGCCTGGACAAAGATAAATTCAGTGTTCATCGAGATATGATGTCTTACACGTAACAACGTAATTGATAGCTCGTTCGACTCAAACGCGATATTCCGTTTTGAGGACCGTAAAGTTTTCGTGGCTTACTTTAGACGGCCTTGATGAGATGCTTAACATTAAGTAGTTCTTCTGTACTCAAACCACCTTTCTGGCAGCTCGCATTTGAAGATGGTTTTGTACGCGTGTCCTTTGTTGAAGCAACCACCTGGTATTACGATCTCATTGGAAAAAGAAAATATTATTTTAGAATTTACGCAAATAATATCAAGTATATAGGTATTACGATAGGCTGTTTAGTAGTAACAGAGTCCACGATTGACTTTCTTTATAGATCGGTCGCTCGACTCGATGATAATGCCAGACTGTCATTTCGCAGAAATGTAGCAACGCGATACGTTTACCGGCCGATCTGTCGCTGGATTTTTCTTCATATAATTGATCTATTTTATTTTATCGTAACAGTGAAGATTGCGTTATCGGCAAGTATGGTCAATTTAAATAAAATAAATTTTACTCTCCACACGCGAGTTGCGCTCCCGCGAGTTGAAGTATTATTAATAAAAGTTACAAGTATACAAATATTTTTAGTGGGATATACATACTTTGTATGAATTTTGTATTTTACTTACTCGGGTACATGATTATAAGGGGAGAGAAAGAGAGCGTGTGTGTGTGTGTGTGCGAGAGAGAGAAAGAGAGAGAGAGAGAGAGAGAGAGAGGGAGAGGGAGAGAGAGAGAGAGAGAGAGAAGAATTCTTAAGAAAATTTTATAAACTTAACGCAATGCTCAATTTACCGCTATCGAGAATCGTCGAGATATACGTATATCCAATATTTCTATTCAAACATTTTATATAACACCATTTACTGCCACGATAATGCATATCCGTCAAAGTACATACATATACACGTTTCCTTCCAATGCTAGAGACTCTCTTATTCGACGACGACGTATTAACGAGAAATCCGAGAGAAAGTGTATCTCTCGCGCATACTTCAATTCAGATCGATATAACATGTAATGATCGTGTTATTACGCAACGCCGTGAGGTAAAAGTATGCTTGTAGAATTTCGAATTGTACTCAACCACTTTTTGGGATACTTTTGTATTTTCGTAGCTATTGAAGTATTGTACAAAGCTCTTGTATATTAAGGACATTGCGCGCGGTATGTGCAAGTTGACCGGAACTTGAGCGATACAAATCGAGTCTTTGGCGCCGCTGCTGCTGAATGACGGCGGAACAGTTTGGAAGGCCGTGAGAATATTGAGTGATTCGTAAAGCAAGTTTACAATCGATTGTAACGACAGCGATTCGCAATTCTCACGTTTGTCTCACTCGAGTCTTGCCGAGCAACTCGTGTACTGTTCGCGTACCATGTATTTCAACACCACTGCGAAGTAACGAGTGATATTCCTTTTTTTTTTTTTTTTTTTTTTTAAGCATAAACGCTGCCAAATTGTGTAACGAATATTCGTAGATCGGAAGTTTTCAGGGAGAGCCGGGAAAATCTTTTGTACCATAATTCGGAGTATTGCGTATTACTTGCCAGTGATAGTACATAGATAATATATACCGCCCAATAACAAATTTATATACAGAAGAAGATGAATTGGTCCTTTCGTTGTCGGCTTAGCTTAGCCATTGATGAGAACATTGAGGTGAATTTGCGTTCGATCGGTAGTACGAACGAGTGACGCGACATTATCGTTTTGTAAGTTTACTTTATAAAGAGAACGCGTTTATTTATGCATATATATATATATGTATGTATGTATGTATGTATGTATGTATGTATGTATGTGTATATATATATGCGTGCGTGTGTGTGTGTGCGTGCGTGTGCGTGCGTGTGCGTGCGTGTATGTGCGTGCGCGTGCGTGTGTGTGCGTGCGTGTGTGTGTGCGTGTGTGTGTGTGTGTATGTGTGGAGCGCGCAATATATGTAATTTCTTTTGTTTTCTGACACGCCGATGCTTTGCGCCACATTATCGTTTTTACGTTGACAATTTTTTATTTTGCGCAGATTTTTACAATAGGGAGAGCAAGAGGAATACATGTGAGCTATACCGATAAAGAGAACAGCTTGTACATTAAGAGTATATATATATATATATGAAAGTTGTATCTATTACGCTGTTGAAGAAAGCGACAGGTACTTTTTTTAATTAAAAGACAGGCCTATGGAAGGCCTGTGAAAATATTTTACCACAAAAGTATAACTAGCGTATATGTAGTTATATATAGCATATGTTTATCTATGTATAATTGATATTATTTATTGATTTCTACGGTGGGTCTATTGGGTACGGATATATGTAAATGTGAAAATGTTGAGAGGCTGGTTTGCATTCGACCGTCATCGTTGACGCAAGTTCTTTCTCTCATTATTCATCAACGAATCGATCATCCACATTAGTGTTTTAATTAATAGATAAATAAATTATTTAGTATTAGCATTTTTTAATTTGACGGTAATCGCGTTGAAACAAAATGACCGGCTTATCGATGTATATAAATAAAAAGGAAAAAAAAAAAGAAAACGGAAGCAGACATCGCAACTTTAAAATAAGATGATCGAGTATTTATATACATATATATATATATATATATATAGCCATATTATGAATATAATTCTTATATTTGTACGATATACGACATAAGGAAGCCCACTCCGAGACGAAACATTCATAACAAGTGTGTGATAATATTTGTAAAACTTGATATTCAATAAACAATTTTATGTTCTTTATAAAATACGCGTCGATGGATATTATTTTGATGCGCTACTTCAAAATAAAAATCAATCAGTCCTTCGTAAAACGTACATATGTCGTAATGAAATAATAGTCAAGTATTATCGTCTGATTTGTCGTTGATTCGTGCTACTCGAAAACAGTCTGTCGAATGATTATTGAACCATATCACGAGCTCGGATTTTCGCTTACAATTGGTTAGTATTAGCTGGCAACTCGTAGCGGGAAACTAAAGAACCTCCGCAGAAAGTGCCCGTTTTTCAGTCCCCGATTTTTAAGTTAAATTTTATGCGAAATGATAGCTCGTGATAAGACATTAATCGCACAAAAAAGTTTTACATTGAGCATACGATTGGTTTCAGAGATATAGAGAAGGTCAAAGTGGTCGCTACCTACTGAGAAAGTTTGACGTTGAATAACGTTTTAACGCACGAATTTTTACGAAATTCAGTATCTATGGGTTCTTTGAGTTGCTTATTACGAATTCGATGTCAGATTTAAAAAATTCAAGATGGCGGATGTAATAATAGCAGACACAAATAGTGAAACAATTATTTACTTTTATTAGAACTGTTATGTTGTGGTTTTTTCGGCTAGCTGATTGCGAATTTTCTATCAGATTTACATTTACCTTCAGTGTAGGCAAGGAAAAGTTATCCAGCCAAAGAAGGCAAGATAAAAATGCTTATATTATTGGACATAATGATATGTAATTATAAAGAGTCACGGAAACTGCAGTGAGAAAGCTTCAAAATATAACAAATAAAACTATCACGTTGTCCTTTATGCGCATCATGTAACGTATCAGTTTGAATTTGATACCTTTTTTTATGAAAAAACAATAAAAAAAAATACTTTTTCCACTCAAAAATTGTCATTGAAAAATTACTTTCGAAAACCTAATAGAAAATTCGCAATCAGCAAGCCAAAAAAACCACAACATAACAGTCCTAATAAAAGTAAATAATTGTTTCACTCTCATATGTGTCCGCCATGTTGCACCTGCCATCTTGAATTTTTAAAATCCGACATCAGATTCATAATCAGCTCAACTCAAAGAATCCATAGATA